AAAAACAAAACAATTAAAAGTAGTTTGGTTTCTTGAGCTCCAAAAAAATACAAGAATCTGGAATCTTCCTTTTATTTATCTCAGTAGTTGATGTCCAACCATTTTGGAAAACAGACGTCAAAGACAAAAGGGAGGATAATTTTTTTGTTTATTTATAATCTTTGATTTAAGGAAAGGCCCTTTTCAAATTTAAAGTGTCTCGAAATTTCTGTCTGACTTTAAAGATTTCTAAATCTAAAATATTTACAAATTCAGTTGTGTTGAAAGAATACATTATATGATTTTGAACTTCTATATTTGTAATATTGAGATTCTTCACATGACTTATTAAAAGTATGAGTTTGTATTTATCATATATAGCTATGTCTGTATGGTTATTGGTGAATAAATCATGATGTAAGCATTTAGCATTATATATTATTTTTGCTTACCTGAAATATTTCTTGTTGAAAACTATTTGAAACCAGTTCTAATTTGGAGGCAAAAACTGTTCAGGAAGTTAATTAAGGTTTTAGGATGAATCTCTCAATTTTTCCTTTGAAGCATATCATATAGGGTAGGAAATTCTTGACTTATTTTCTTTCTTTTTGTCTTTTTCCCTTTTCTTTCTTTCTTCCTTTCTTTGTAGTTTGGTTAAAAACTATAGTTTATTCCTCAACTCTTCCTTCAGATAGTTTCTAGGTGAAATTTAACATTATAAGTCCATAACAAATTAGAACATAAACACTTTTTTTAAAATGAGGGATAAAGAATATGGCAATTTCTTTTATAATATCCTACAGTATATTTTTTAACTTGGAAAAATTTTTTGATAGTTAATTCTCTTAAAGAATTAGGTTAAATGTATCAGAACAGTGACTAAATTTGAATCTTTAGGAAACAATACAACATATTTTCATGTGAAGGGGCTACCAAAGGAAGATCAATTTACTAAAAATCAACCCATATGATATTTTGGAGAATTTGCCAGTTTTCACCTTAACATATTTAATAAGCTACATTAGATGTCAGGGAGAGGAAAATTCACCAGTGCAAGAAAGATAAGGAAGAGAGAACTTTGCAAGATGCTTTATGATTTTCTGTACAGTATGTTAACATTTTCACAATCTTAGTGTGACCAATCAGGTTCTTTAAGACAAAATAACATGGGTCAACAAATGAAATTTGTAATCAGTGGGCTTCTGTATTAGTTATGTAGTTGCCTTATTTGGTAATAAATTGTATTTTACAGAAAGTGGCAGGAGCAAATACCATTTTGGTCAACCATCCCATCTGATTACTGGGGGCTTAATTTTGAAAGCTGGGGGTGGTTAATTAGTCATATACTGGGAACTCTGAGCTTTCTTCCCCTAAAGGGAGAGCTTAAATATTCAAAAGTGACCAAATGCCTCTGGATTGTTTTTCTTATGCTTCATTCTAAGTACTATCATTACACGTCAAGGTGCTTTTTGGTACTGGGCCAGTCATCTTGCTAATCCACCCTTTCCTCACACTATGTTCTAGGAGGTCACATACATTATTACACTATCCTTGTGGGTTATCAGTGAAGAGCTAGGTCCTAAAGCTTTCACATTTTCTAAATATTTTACACAGAACACAGCTTATAAATCCACTCTTTTTGGATGCCAGAAAGTCCCCCTGAACTTTTACAATGATGAAACTGAAGACAACCTGAAAGAAGAAAACAATCTTTAGAAATAGATACAATTTGCTCTTTTACTGTGTCTAGATTTGCTTAAGAAAAAACGTATGTTTAAAGGGGCTTTTAAAAAGTTATTTGCAGATTGCTTCAGTCAGCCAAAATGATTTTTGATCAGTAGTTTGTCTTGAATAATTTCCCTTTAAAATGGTCACGTTTTGTATTTTTGGAAGTTATCCTAAACTTTTTTCCCCTTTGGAGAGAGCAATAAGGCTTGGATAACCCAAAACTCTAGTACAAGAAATCTAAACATTATTTAAAGAGAGGTTGACCTCTGGGTCATCCAGTGTGGTATTTCTTTACTAAGTCAGGTTAACATGTAAATAATATTAAATATAACTAGCGATGTAACAAGAGTATTTAATACTCATCAACTTTATTTCTAAAATATTGCAGTGGATTGAGAACCCTGAATTCCAACCAGATGTAGTTCTGCAGTATTACACAGGTCATATATATTTCACTTTTTTGGTTCAAACCCAGGGGATCGACACGATAATTAGATTGAGAACATCTGTACCAAATCCAAACTATTTCCCTGATCCTTCCCCACGGGAGAAATTTTTTTAAACTTCTGAACATTTGATTTGTCTAGCCACTGTTAGGGCAGTTCCTTGGTCCTGCCTGCCTGCCTGCCACCGCACAAATAGGAGGGGAGGGCAGGCTGGCCCCAGTGTAGGCTGGGGAATAATGGTTAGAAGTGGCATTTCGTCGGGACAGGAATGGCTCAAGGTGGCATTCCCTCGTCCCTCCAGGAATCTGGCTCCAGGACAGGGCGTGGCCAGGCATGGGGCCCTGCGCGCCGGTGGGCACGTGCGCCCGGACCCAAGGACCCCTGTGTCAGGGCGCCGCTGCCCTCTACCGGGCGGCACTGTCCGAGCTGCCGCCGCTCGTCGGCGAGCGCGGGCTCAGAAGCCCCACACTAAGGCAGCTTTCTGCCACTCGAAGTTTGCAGTGTCCAGCCGGGTGCCGGCGTGCAGCTGGCTACGCGCCTTGGTCAGACGTCCGAGCGCTCCCACCCACTTGCTTCCTGTGCCTCCCAGAGTCAAAGGCTGGGATGGGGACGCAAAGCGATCCCTTTCCGGACCTCGGGAATTTCTCCTTGTTGACTGGGAGGCCCCGAGCCCTAGTGCAAAACCTGGGAGCCTATATATTTTCTGAATCTTAGGGGACTTTCATTTCCAGTCCTTTCCCTTAGAAATGCTGAAATTCACTGCAGTGATTAGTGTTAAACCCTTGATTTCAGCTGAAAAGCAATTATTTTCCACTTACGTTTTTCATTTTGTATTGCATACATTTTATTTACATATAATTTTCAAGATCAAGGAATTTGGGGATTTGTTTTAACTAATTACACGTTAAATGAAATGCGAGAGAGTAAACGTACAGAATTCCTACTAGAAAACTAAAACTTGCACGTGTGTGTAATCAATTAAAGATGACGATCACAAAACGGGTGATTTGATTAGGTTTCTGCAAAGAAGGAAATCAAAAGAGAATTCATTTTTTGGTTTACATTTTAGCATTTCTGTAAACTTGGGGCCACATTTGTTTCAAGCGAGTGCACCCACGCTTTCCAACTTTATGCACCAGAAAGAGTAGAAAGCGAGACGCCTGAACTGCAAAAAAGTTTCAGGGTTTGTGCCGAGGGAAAAAAAAAGAACCGCGAGGGGACACAGAATTGAGCTACAAGACTTTTCTGTCGTGGCCTAAGCCAGAGTGGTTTGGTCGAAGGGAGATCGCGGGGACCCCCGCGCCATCGCCGCTGTAGTGCGTCCTGGTGCGACGCGGGGACTGTCGCCGGCGCGATGTGGGACATGAACGTCCCCTGCGACCTGAGAATCAGAGCTCTTCAGCCCCCGATCCGCTCCCCAGCATGAAACGCGGTTCCCGGCCGCGGCGCGCTCCGAGTGAGTTCCCGCTTGGGTGCAGCGGGACGGAGGTCGCCCGCAGCCAGCGCGCTCGCACAAGCACTGCTGCAGTGGGCCCGGGGCACGAGGGGTCTGGTCTCAGGCAAGTGGTCGCGGGGCCAGAGCGAGGGAAAGGGGCGCTGTCCTGACGTCCGCCTCAGACCTTCCAAGCTGGGGCACCGGGAGGGCTACGCTCCGCCGCCGCCCACGACCCCCGAGACCGAGCGCGCCCCAGGTAAGCTGGGCCCGGGGCCTCGGTGGGGGCCGAAGCCCTTACCGCGACCCGTAGCGCCCCCTCGGGGTTGGGCGCGCGGTCGCCACGACTGGGGATAGGGGTGCAGACAGGGGTGGGGGTCGCGGGCCCAGCGGTCGCCGCGCGGGGAGTGCGCAGGGCGGCGCGCGCCAGGCCGGCTGGCGGCCGCCGCGCCTGAGGACTCCGACTCCGACTCCGACTCAGGCTCGCCATGGCAGCTGAGGCGACGGCGCCGTGAAGAAGAGTCCGCGTCCGCCTTGGCGGCGGTGGAGGCCGGCTCCAGGCCGGGTTTTGGCGCCGCCCGCCTGCTGCCTCCTGGCGGCTCCTGAACTCCAGCCCCCTCTCTATCAGCCTCTCACTCCGTCTCAATATGTCTCAAGATGGCGGCCAATGTGGGATCGATGTTTCAATATTGGAAGCGCTTTGATTTACAGCAGCTGCAGGTCAGGCTTCTCCGCGCTCGGCCTCGCGCCTGGGGGTGGGGGCTGCGGGCGGTCGCGGCCTCCCCCAGGGACCCCAGGCTGCTCGGACGCCGGGGGGCCGCGGCGGCGGGGAGGAGGGGGTGCCGGGGAGAGCGGGGCCGAGTCGGGCACAAGTCCCCCTCGCTCCCTGGGCCCCCATTGATAACTCGCTTGATCAGAAATTGATCCTCTTTGTTCAATTCATCGATCAGCCCAAGATGGCGCCGGGAGCCGTCGCCGCCACCACCGCTGCCCCCGGTGTCTGCCCCCACTCCGGGCTCCCCCCCGCCCTGCGCCGCCGCTGCCTGCGCCTCCGCTGCCGTCGCCGCGGGACCGGAGAGGGGGCGGCCCGGTAGCCCCGCGAGGCGCGCGCGCGAGGGGGCGCGGGCAGCGGGCGGCGGGAGGGGACTGCGGCCCGGCGGCGGCGGCGACTCCCGCCCGCGCGCCCGCGCCCCCGGCCCGCCGTATTCCCGGGGAAAGTTTGTGGGGAGTTGCTGTGGGGGGTGAAGCGCCTGCCTCTCCAGGAGGAGCCGCCGGCGCGGCGGAGCTGGGGCTGGTGGCGCTGTGGTGCCGCCGGCTCGGGGGAGGGTCACAGCGGCCACCGGCAGCAGTGGCGGCGGCGGCGCGGCCCGGCTCCGGCCAGGCGGGCGGTTGGCCGGCGGGCGCCCGCGCTCACTGCCCGGGCCGGCCCGGGCCCCGGGCCCCTCTCAGTGCCACTGTCAGCCGGCCTCCGGCCGCCGGCGCTACTCGGGCACCCGGCGCAGACACCCGGTTTGTTTACGTCCCGAGAGCGCCCCGGGGGCTACCCGCAGCCGCCCCGCTCTTTTGTGTGCCTGCGCGAGTGACGCGGTGCTGCCTGTCCGCGCCCTAGGGACCCCGCGGGGGCGCTTCGGGGAAACTTGACAAGGGGCGGCTGGGACGTCCCGCACGCGTTGCCGTGGGTCGCGGCGTCCGGGACCGGGAGAAGGCTGCAACTTTCCCCGAGCGGCTGCCCGCGCGGGGGGCGCGCTTCCTCACTGCCGCGGGTCAGACAGTGCGGCCCTCGCTGCGCGCGCGGGGACTCCCGCGGCCCGGAGTGATCCGCCGCGCGCTCCATTCCGGCTCCTTCCTCCGGGTGACCGGGAACGGGGCGGGGGGGGGGGTCTTGTCCTCTCTGCAGGGTCAGCAGGCGCTATGGAGCGCACGGTGCCTCCGCTCCGAGATTCCTTCTCGGCCCGGGTTCTCGAAAGCAAAGCCGCGGGTCCCCCCATAGACTCTGGCGTGCGGGAAAGTGGTCCTGGCGCCGAGCCCCAGGAACGCTATCCGGAGCCCGAGCTGTCGCCGTGCTCAAGGGGTGCGCTCTTGCCTGGCACCCCCCACCCAGAGGACAGGCGCGTCTTGAGGGTCCGCCCCGCAAGTGCCTGCTCCGCGCTCGCGGCGGCCGGACAGCCCCGGGACGCTGCCAGGTGGATGTTGTGTGTAGCCGGAGCCAAGTTGAAGGTGAGCGGCTCGTGGGCCAGAAGCTCTTTGAACACTGGGGGCCCGGGAGGGAGACAGTCGTGGCTTGAAAGAACCCAGGGCAGCTTGGCGCTCTCGGGGTCCTCGCAGCGTCCCTGGGGAGCCCTTGCTGCTCCGGCCTGTAAGGTGTGCACAGAGGTGAACTTGGCTGAACTTTTCTAACCGGGGGGAATGATGATAGTCACCGGCAGCACCTGTGGTAGTAAAGCAGACAACTGACTACACATGCAGGATTTTAAGAAATGAAGTGGATTGGATTAAAACATATGTAAGTTGAGTCTGGCAACTTTAATTGTATGCCCTTGTTTTCCTCCCATTCCTATTTTAAAACGATAGAGCAGACTCATAGTCGTTATGAAATTTCCTCAGATTTCTCTAAGTAGGAAGAAGAGTATGTGAACTATGTATTTCCGATAAGATTAGAACTTAAAGGAGTTTGAGTATTTATTGACTAAAATAGATTACTCCAAAGTGTCTATTGTGTAAATTAGATTCCTGAGTGTAATGAACACAGCCGAATGGCATTTTTGATAAATTGGTCTACCCTGTTTTAGTAAAAATAGCTCCCTTTTACCATAATTTAATTCTTGTGCTTACTGTAAAACCCGTTCTGGAGTTTTAAGAGACAAACCTTAATATTCCCCCCACCTCCTGTCTTCCTAAATGTGACATCCTAGCTTAACATCAGTGAAGTTGTTTTTTTTTAAGCATCCGGGCTGAGCTGCCTGGGAAATGGATTTGGTTTCTAGAGAGTTACTAGATTTTATGGGCTGTATATAAATACAGTCCAATACAGAAAAATCCCTTACCCATTGATTAGCTACTTTTTTGGGGAATCATGAGGACATTTAACTATGTAGCTGTAGGATTTGATTAAGCTTCCCTGGCAGTTTACTTAACTGAATTTTATGTTCTGGAAAACGCAGCAACATTATACAAAATCTTTTCTGTAAGCTGCATTCTTTTTACCAAACATCTATTGCCTTTTGGTGAGCAGATAACAATTTGGCCTTAGATGATTTCCTGTGGCTGCTCAGCTGCATGTTTGAAGATGTCATTTTGGACACGAAATGTCGAAGTTTATGTGTAAAGTCGGACTGGTCCTTTCTTTGGGTCCTGGGGAGGTCTTTGAGTTGGTGTCTGGCTGAGCATCCGCTCTGTTCCCATAGACAGTAAGTGAGCCACTGAAACTGCAGTTTGATCACGAGTTCATTGGCTTCAGTCTCTTCTCTCTCCAGACTCTAACACTGAGATGAGGGTGCCTGCAAGTCCAGTGTCTGCTGTAGCATTGCCACCTGAAGGCAAGGAGGCAGGGTTCAGCTAGACTCACCAAGTTAAGAGACTTCGGTGGGTCTGGATAAGATCTGGCAGTTCCATATCTCTTCAGCGCCCCAGTGAGTCATGGTTACGTTCTTTTCCCTCTGCTTCTTGAGTTTTGAAGCCACTGTGGGGACTTGGAGTGAAAGCCTAGGAAGAGGGCATCTGGAAATGGTGCTCTACATGGTTTCCTTTTTAGTCCCAAAGATTATCGCTATGGAAGTTTCGGTGCTTTGTCCTTGCTAAGACTAGTTGGACAAGTTTTTATCCTATCCCAGACTTGTAAAAACCAGACTTTTTTTTTTTAAGTAAGAAAAACACCATTGTATAAATTTATCTTTTAAATACACATCTGAAAAGAGGACACTTTCTAAAACAAGCGCATTTGTAATTCTGTTATGTGATTGTGGAGTTCTGAATTTTTTGGAATGGAGCCTGCCGGCCCTGGTTCTCTTTGCAGCATTGTCCTTGCATGGGGACCCATTTTCCCCTTTAGGGGTCCCCTGCCACAGTGAACTTTAAAAGGTGTCCTCTTTTTCAGTATGAGAAAGCAATTTAAGTTTTGTCCAAAGTCTGTTTTCTGGCTCCTTTTGTTTTTTTCCTGTCATGGAAGTGTGTATGTTACCAGCTGTCAACACTGTTCCCTATAATAAATCTTTTAATTAAGGTATCATGTGTAGTGTCTTTAATAGAATAATGAATAAACAAATGACACTGTCGCCGCTCCTCTTTTTGTGTTGGAGATTGGGGGTATGAGGGGTTCATTATTATTTGCTTGAAATTTTTACCTCGGAGTTTTAAAAAGGTAAGTCATTGAAAAGATAAAGTTAACCAGGGCACCTCCAGTTGAGCTGGGTGCATAGGGACCCTTTTGCTTGTGTCTCCAGTTTCATGTATGTGTCAGTAATCAGCTAACTTAGGAAAGTTTGAAAAAACCTGCTCCTCTCTAGAATTATTCTTCTCTCATCCCCAGAGCTAACCTTAAAAATGTCGAATAGTGACCTCCTTGAGCCCACGACCTTTAATGACTCTGTTGCTGTCAAATAAAAAAAAAAAATCTACCAGAGTTTGTGTGGGAACTGTGAAGACACAGTAGTGTGTACTCGATGAGACCACAGTCTGTCTTAGTAACAAGGCTTGAAGTAGAAAATCCATTTTTGTTTCAGTTCTGTAGAAGAATGAAAGAAGGACAAATTTGTTAGGGGAAAATTTGTAAATTTTTAAAGGAAAAATCCATTGTATGAAAAATCCTACAGAGCTAGGCTCAATTCTAACCCATGTTCCTGTTTTATATAGGACACACATTTGGTTCATGTAAATTTCACATACAGTATTTGATGTATCTTCTGTGTTATATCTTCTGTGTTGACATATCTTTTGTGTTATAGTACAAATGGTATACGCAATTACTATAAAACTTATTCAAACATATGGGTTCATAAATTGCTATTATTTAATACATAACTTAAAAATATAACTGCTCTCCCCATGCAGTCTTGATTTTTATTAATAATCGTTAAAGACAGAAATGTGTCTACCTAGTACTTTTGTTTTGTCTGAAGCTCTGAGTTATCACTGCAGAAATAGTTTTAATTTCAACTGAAATATCCCTGCCTCTGGTTGTTTAAACCAGGCCCTTAATCTTATTTTAACATTTAAAAGTTTTCAAGAAACCCGGAAGAATTGTTTTGTGTAAGTAGCAAGTGAACACGTAGTTTAAACACTCAAGCAATTCTGGTATCTAATTGGAAACAGGTGGAATTCCTGGAATCTTGTATTTGAGTCTTACTATAGCCAAGCATGGGGACACTTTTACTTGTTGCTACTCATTTTGTGGACACTATTTGTAGAGGGGCCAGCTCCAAAGCCTCTCATTATAGCCCACAGCTATTTACCTGGACGTTCCAGTAACGCTGAGCATTGTGGGACCTGATGCCTATGAATGTTAAGACTCTGAGAAAATTGTGTTTGCAAATAATAGAGTGAAAAAGGAATTCTACTGGCATTACTAAATGATTTATTACCTGTCTTGTATAACTTTTATAGCAAAGAAATTGTGAGTTTGTGACTTCTGATTTAGTGAACATATATTAACCTGCATGTGTAGATGCATTTTATTATGTCCTGACAGTGGTTTAGAATTGAAAGAGAAGATACTAGTTCTGTGTTTAGAGGTACAAGCTTTAATTGCAGCCAAAAAATATTAACTTGGTTTGAGGCATCGTTTCAATAAAATACTAATGATGGGCCCCTTCAAATTGTCTATTGTTTTTACTGTTCTAGTTTTCAAAATGTGTTCCTGAAAGCTCCTCCATAGCCCTGTTTTTTTTTTCTCTGTGTTTCAGAAGCCAGTTTTGATTTGTGTGTAGGTGTTACAGGTTTCTGGAGGATAACTGAGATTTGCTTTTGAGCTGCTGATACTGTTGCAATTTTGGGTTTGCTGAACTGCCCTGGGTCTTGGTTTCCAGCAAGGTGCTGAGAAAGCTGGTGGAAGAGAGCACTCCCCTGCAGGAAGAAGGTGTCCCTGCAGAAAGTGAACTGGAACTGAGGGAGAACTAGGGAGAACCTCATTTGTGTCATGCCTAGAGCAGCTTTGAAGCACCTGTGTTATGACTCACAGATTTTTTTTTTGTGGTATCAGGGATCAAACTCTCAACTGCGCGCTTGACAGACAGGCACTTAATGCCACTGAGCTAAATCCCTGGCCCTTGACTTACAGATTTTTCCTTTTTTTGGTCTTTTTCCTTTTTATTGGTACTGGGATTGAATTCACGACTGCCTGCTTGCAAGGCAGGCACTTAGGCCGCTGAGCTAAATCCCCAGCCCCGACTTACAGATTTTTAAAAAGTGTGCTGTATCCTGTGTGCATAATATGATAGTTAAAAAAGAGAGTGAACAACTCTGAAAGACATCTAATTTGTTGCAAACTTTAAGAATTTTTCCTTTAAAAAGCAAACAGCTCTTTGATAAAAATAATTCTCATTCTTACTGTAATTAAATTCCAATAGAATGATGTTAATACATAAAATACAGGCTGTCAGTTTCTTCATGTTAGTCTGAAAGTTTTTCCTTACTGTAGGAGGCCCCAGGCTGTTGGTAGAATTTGTGTTTAATAGAGCCCTGGACCCCAGGAATCCCAGGAATTTCTGTGGCCACAGGGTTGCCTGAGCCCCGAGGGACACTGGTAAAGTTCAACCCACAGGGGGTCTTCCTATGCCAGGAATCCTATCTGGCAGGAGGTTGAGAGGAAGGAGGATAGAAGTACTCCTGCCAGGAGTTTACTGCCACTAAAGAGCAACCCAACCTGTAAGAGATGCACAGTACACAAAACTGAGTAGGTCCTGCTTCCTTCTATTAAAGTGTTTGTGAAACTCAGTAGGGAATGCCTAGGCATCTGGCCACACCTTTGTAAGACTGGTGTCCACCAGGTCTTCTATAAGGCAACCTCCTTCAGCTGACGCTTGCAATTGTGGATCTGTTTGACCGTTGGTGATTTATGCAATTCATGTAGGAGGAAATTACCAGAGCTTAAACTCTGAAGCACCAGGGAAATAGCGTGCTCTTTCTTAGCATTTTCTTGTCTGTACCAACACAAGGCCTGTTCTCTTCCAGACAGCTCTACTTGGCTGTACTTACTTTTTTTTAAGTTAGTGCATTTAACATTT